ACATAGAAAAAGCAATAAATAGCCGAACGGGCTACAATATATAAAATAATTTATCGGGTTGTTACAGTTATACACAAACACACTCTTGTCTAACTCTTCTTGACTGTCGATATTTTAGGCTTAAAAAGTTTCTAAGTACAATTTGAGAGTGAAATTTATCCATTTTCAGTTGGGATAGTTTTCTAAGAAAGCACAATGCTCATAAACAAATACAATGATGAGAGAGTAGTAAGTTGTTTAGAGGAGGAGTGATTCATTGTTTCAGTTTTGTGCTTCAGTTCATGTCTTCTTCCTTCGTTCTTTAATGTTTCTTTTTGTAGCCAAGTTTTTCAGTCTTGCCTTGTATAGCTCTACTAATTGTTGTCTTCCAGCACTACAACAAATTAGGTTTACTTGGCGACTTTTTGTGACAACTCAAAAGCTTGCCACAAAGTGACAGTTTTAGGGCGACTATTGTATCCGTTACTAAAAGTTGTATTTTACTAGCGACTATTAATATATCGCTACAAATATGCCTCATTCGCAATTACATATATAGTATGTCGTAGTGTTTTGCTGAAGTAGTAATAAATAACAAAAAGCTCGTAAAACTTGTGAGAACTGATACTTATATATACACACTAGTGAGGTTATGCCCAAACTAAATCTGAGCCAACGGCTATGCGTGAGCAGTCATGTGCAAATGTATATTTTGGTTTAATTGTTTCTCTGTCGATTCTTAGTGGCAGTGGCGTAGCTATATGCATTGAAGGGTGGTAAACTGAACACCCTTCATCGAAATATTATATTATGTATATAGAAATTTATATTGTATATATAGATCAAAAATTATTTTTTAAATATGTATATTAAATATTGAACACTCTTTACGAAATTTCCGATTTCGCCACCGTTTACCGGTAATACCATCATGGTATCATTCAGAAAGATTTTAAGTGTTTTAAGAGGGTCTTAGAGTTGGCTATATTTACCACATAGTATGAGGTAGGGGTGTTCATAAAACCTGAAAAACTGAACCAAACCGAAAAACAAACAAAATCGACCAAAATAACCGATACCTTTTGGTTTGATTTGGTTTTAGTTTTGAATTTTAAAAACCGATCAAATTTGGTTTGGTTTTGATTTTAATCAAAAAATAATCGAAAAAACGGAACCAAACCGACTATAGAAGTGGCTATTTCAAATTTATTATTACACCTATATATATGTATATTTTTGTACAAAGTTTCTAAAATTTTATGGTATATGTTAATCGTTTTTGCCTTTACATTCTAGTTTGATCGGTAGTTTTCTTTTGCTAAGTATAAGAATCAATTTCATGTTAAAAATAATCTATTTTTAATTGAGTCCTTAAATTACTCATCACTATTTGATTCAATTATAATCAATATATCTTGGTAAATGAGAGATTTCTCAAAAGGGCAATTGATTTGATAGTGTTACACTGAAAATATAATCGCCGGAATATGTGTTTGGTAGCGTATGTCTTATATTTAAGAAAACACCGATAAATAATTGAATTTTTTTCGAAAAACCGACAAAACATATCTCAAGTTCTAGAGGTATGCATTCTATTTCATTGTAAGATTAATTTAGTTACAACTTTAATAAATAAATTACTTTTACATTAACTGAAAGTCCCAGGTACATGGGACAAAACTATATACGTGTAACTGCCTTAGCACAAAACATTTGGTAATGGAATAACATAGAGGACTATCGGATGGTTGAACTGAAAATGTTCCGTCATTTAAGGGCCTCATACTAGGGTGGTTCATGGTTCGGTTTTGATCGATTTTTTCATAAAAAGAAATCAAACCCAGTAAGTCAATTTTTTAAATATTAAAACCAAACAAAATCAATTAATTCAGTTTTATATTGCTTCGGTTTACAGAGGGACTACTGAAAAATAGTCCTATGGCAACGGGTCAATAACCGTTGCAATAGGTATCCAAACCGTTGCAACAGACATATGGCAACAGATCTGTGTGCGTTACGTCAGGCCGCGTGCTGATAGGTCTATTGCAACGGTTTTGTTCAACGGTTGTAAGAATGTTACATAGGCATTGCAATGGCTTAGAAAGCGTCGCCATTTGCCTGCCTATTGCAACGGTTATCTAGTCAAGTGGAACGGTTCAAATACGTTGCGATATTATTTTGTGCAATGATTATTGAGGCTATGGCAACGGTTATTTGGGGGCTTTGCAACATATATTTTTTCTATTTCCTTTGGTGGTATATTATATTAATTACTTGCCTATATAATAAAATATAACGCTAAAACTTATATAAATCTCGAAAGGAAACTACTCATCAACAAAATCATAATCTAAACCAACCAACTAGCATTATCCATAGATAAAAACAAATATACAATATTATTTGACAATTCAAGAGTTATAAAACATAAATTGCAAAAGTTTTATAACAAAAGATTGCTAGAATATCTAAGAGTCTAGCAACGATCAACCAATACTCTTAAGTAAGATATTCACTGCTTTCGTCTATCCTTTGTTCATTTGCTTCGCCTACAAAACAATCAAAAACAACTTAGCTGATTTGCTTATAAGAAATTAATTATACATAAAAGACAAAAAATAAAACGAAACTGGTTTAATAACTCAACCAAGCAATATTTCTTCTGGGTACTAAAGGAATTCGCTATGAAAGAATGCTTAAGTTTTCTTCTTTAAGTGTTACTTGGAAAAGGCCAGATGTATAAAATTCCCAAAGCATAAGTCATTCACTTGTAATAGTACCAAAAAAAATTCAACTGACTAAGTAAAAACAAGAAGCTTCATATCTCAATATAACTTTTTGTTCGCTCCTAAACTTAATAGTCCAAACGTTGAATTAATAACAACCCAAAACTAAAGCTTTGATAAAGATACAGTGCCTAATCAGAGATGGAAAAAGAATAAGCATAAAACTAGAAAATAGAAACTATAGTTGTGACATCAAGAAAAAGTGTCCTCTGCAGGAGGAACTACCAAAATTGGTAAAGCCCAAAATTATAAAATACTAGTTTTACCTTTTGTGAGCAATACGAAATAGATGCTTACTTCTATTTACTTAAACTTGTTAATGCAGATAAAGCATAAGGTGATAGTTTAGGAGTAAATTTAGACATAGTATACTTGAAATAGTATATATATATTTTCTTTCAATAAAATAGACTTAAAATATATTCATGCTAAATTAGACCTTGGCAGTAGACTTAAAAGTTAAACCACAAATCATGATAAGAAGATAAAGTTTTAGAAGTGAGTCAACAAATTGAGTGGAGTTTAAAATTTCTAGAAATACCTTAGCTCGGCTTGTACTTCTATCAATTTAATTGCTGCAACAAGTAATTCTGCAAAGGGCAATGCAGGACCAATCACTCTGCACAAATACAAAGAGATAGATGAAAGTGAGAGTATTAATTAGAATGAGTTCACAAAAGAGGACATAAGTCATAAATAAAAGGAAAATTGTTATTTTTTCTCTTTTTTGGTCAAGAAGGAAAAGGATAATCTATGATTAAAGTGTACGAGAATTTTTCCGAAAATATTCTCACACCAAAAACCCAAAAAAAGAAATTAACGTAAAGCTCATTGTTCTGCTTGTTCTTCTTGTCTATAACATAAAGGAAAACTTCTTTATTTGGACCAGCCTGATTCATGTTTATATTTATTTCACTTAAAAGATAGCAAAAACTATTAGGATGAAGAAATAAGAAGCTTCAGTTTTTAACAACTGTGTCACCAAAGTTAGTCTAATAGACCACAATCGCAATATTGTAATTAATAGCAGGACAAGTTGTTACTAGCATACAAATAAAACTACAAAGGACAAGTTGTCGCATCATACAAATAATAGCTAAACCTGGGGAAAAGCTTATGACAGAATAGAAATAATATGGCATTCAAAATTCTAAACAGAAAAAAGATTCATGAATGTTTAATATTAAATAGATAACACAGCAAAATCAAGAGCCAACTTACTATTCTCATCCAATATGATACACTAGAAATATTTGAGGCTTGTTTTAGTTCATGGTCCAAGTGCATAAGCTGCATCTCCAATCAACTAATATTTTCTTTAAAATATTTCCTGGATAAGCACACTTGAAGAACAAAAGTTCTATTGTCTTTTTGAAATATTTTGGTAATTGTGTAAAGATCCTTACTTCTCATAGAACATCTGTGATGGTGAAGCCAATAATAGTAAAGATGTCAAGAATTCACTATTCATTTAGATAAACTAGAGTAGCAAATGAATCTTTTTAATTCAAATCAAGAAAATAGAGCCAGAATTTGTAAATACTCCAGCTGAGATAATTTTTTGAACGGGAATTGTTTCAATAGGCGAAGAAAATTTGAAATGAATATCTTAAGTGAAGCACCTAATAGAGGATTACTGTACTATGTCGGAAAAAATACATCTACCATCAACTCATCTTTACTTTCTCATTAACTGTTGGTCACCTCTAATAAAAATCCCCCCCTCCCCCTCTCAAACACACCCTGAGGAAATATTGGCACAAAACTCTTGTAATAATGTCCGCAAACCATGAACCAAGAGAGTTCATTTACTGCAAATTATTGTCAAACACTACAAGAAATCAGACTATTAGTGGCGACAAAAGTCGCGACCTTAGGGTTGCTACAAGTACAACCGTTAATGAATGTTTTTTGCGACGACTCCTTATGGTCACTACAAATAGTTAATAAATATGCCTTCCCACACAACAAATTTTAGGAAAGTCGCTACTACAATTAGTAGCGAATAATGCAATCGCCACTAAATCCTTTTATAGTTTCACTGGCAACTATGATCGCTACAATAGCTTGAGATTTAGTGGCAACCTTGATCGCCATAAATACTAATTGATTTTGTGGCAAGGTTCTGTCGCCACTGAAAACCTATTTTTTCAACAACTACAATGGCCAAATTATAATACATTTCTATCGAATTGCTACCAATATTTGAAGCATCCGAAATTATTCAACAACAAATAAAAACATATCTCAAGTCAAATATTATAAATACTTTCATGAATACAAAGTTAGTTAAATACATACTACACAATACTTCATTGTTCGTTGTCATTGTACGCATATACATACGACAAAAAAGAAAAAAGTAGAATATTAAGTGTCTTCAAACTCCTCCTTGGTCAATGCCACTTGTGAATGTTTAAGAACATTGTCCCTGCTATTAAGAAAAAATAACACATGATTACTTTGACAATCTCTTAATTTAATGATGATAGTAAAAGGGGTGAGCACACATCATTTAACTATTTATATTAGCTAATTAGCTAATTAGGAAAAGAACCTTTGATACCGAAAGGGCAATATAGGAAAAGCTACCAATATCAAATATATTAACAATTAGAAGTAGATTCATAGGCACCAGAAATGTACACTAACTTTTAAGAGCAACTCTAGAAGTGAAACAGAGATTAAAACAATTCAATTCAGCTTACTGGAGAAGTTTACATTTTGTAAGCTGATTAGAAAAAGATATAACTTTATTCACCCCTTCCACAATGCCATCGTTCCAAGTCTTAATGTCAGATTTTTCTTTAACTACCAAAACCGACCAAGTAGATTTTTTCTATCCATCATGAAAATCACCACAATGAACATAGACTTGAGACAGAAAACAGGCAATAAATCGAACACATTCTGGGAATCCATAAATTGTACAAATTTGGCAATAACATACAGACCCATCACTAGATTTGTCATCATCGCATCCATTCCACAATTTCATACCAAATTTCATGTGCTCATCCAAATTAAAAAATAAAATCGACATCAAACATAAAGCTCAAGAGTAGAAGTTTCCAAGAATCTTCAAAGAAATCCGACTTCTCTATTCAATAATACAATATTACCAGATTTGAAAAGGAAATCTAAACAAAATATGCAGTGTTAAACATCAAGCTTCTGCGACAAAAGTCTCTTAACACGGTTTAAAAATCAAAATTAACACACACATAAATAAGGATGAACGTTGAGAAATAAAATAGAAAGTGAGAATACAAAGAAAATAAAAGTTCTCCAAATCGCGAACCTCAGAGGAAATGAGGGAAATACCTAAGTTCTAGGCGTATCGAAGATATGCAAGTTCCTCTCCAAAGATAAATTGTTTGCTTCCATCTTCAACTTTCATCTCTCAACTCGGAATCTTCTTCAACAGCCCCGATCTGAGTTATATTGAGAGAAGGTGGGATCTGAATGACACTCACAACAACCAATAAGAGTTTCAAGAGAAGGGGCAAAAGGGATTTGGTAAATAGAGGGTTTTAAATGGCCATTACAGCTCTAGGGTTTTGACAGAAAGAGGAGAAGGATTTGGGTAAATGGCCATCTTCAACTTTTTTAATTTACGACAAAGAATCAGAGGCAACTCAATCGCCTCAATTGACCTTTTGTAGCAACTGTTGATTGGCCGCTACAAATGCTTCTTCAGCAAAAATTTTATTCTGGGAGGAATTTAAAAATTAATGTATATTAGAAGCGACTTTAATCAGTCGCCACTAAAAGTTTACTTTCTGTAACGACTACAGATGTCGCTACTATAGATATCACTATTTGTGGCGACTTCTTCAAGTCGCAGCTAAAACCATACTAATAGTGTCAACTGAAGTGGTCGCTACTGAAAGTCGCTACAGAAAACCTAATTTCTTGTAGTGAAATATTGTTTATTTGGTCCTCCTTCCCACTTTTTATGTCTTATCATATTGAAGTTTTTAAGTATAACTAATTACAAAAATCCCTCATATGCATGACGTGACAAAATAGACGCTAGAGACTGTCCAACGTCTGAGTTTTAGGCTTTTTTTCTACCGCAAGAGCAGTTATAAGGTTTCAAATGTCTCCAATATATGATCTATTGCAACGGTTACCGTTGCAAAACAACTGTTGCCATAGGTCCAATTTCTGGTAGTGAGATTTTGCTACTATTGAAGGCTGAAGTCATGTGTAATGGGCATTGAGCAACTTTTGAGCACAAAATGAGTATCTTTAATCCTTTTATGAGCTATCTTCTCGAAATTAGCATTCACCTGAATTTCATGCTGAGGCTGCCATATACACTTAGTCTGCAATTAAAATAAAAGTTAGACGAATGATAGAATCCATGCCCGCTTGAGAAATAGAATTATCTAATTAAATATTTAGTAATCTAACTGCAACAGACAACTTGGAATGCATTGCGCCTTCATAAAGTGGATAACTAGCTTCCTCTAACGGCATGAAGAAGCTCTTAGCCTCATCATTTGGTTCGGATTGTGTCAACATCTCAAAAGCATCCCTCATTATTTCATTAAATCTAGAATTTTCAACATTAATATTTCCCGTTATGGGAATACCTTCTTCACCACCAAAATAGTTCTGAAAATAAACATTATCTACACTAGCATGACTCTTTCCATGAACAGTCCACACATAATAATTTTCATTAAACCTCTTATACAGATGAATAGTAACAATATCGGGACCCAATAAATTAACATACTTGCATTTCACACAAGGGCACCTAATCCTCCCTTCAATAAGTAAATGATCAAGTGTCTTTGCTTTAGCAGTAAAGCGAGCAACCCCTTCTATAAATTTATCCTGCAACCCCGTACGATTCAGATGATTCCTATTATACATCCATCTACGTTACCCAAATTTCATCTACACAAAAATGTTAAATATTATTTCATTTAAAGGTTCTTATTTTGAATGGTTAAAAAGCATTACGCAGTAAGTTAATTTTTAATCATCCAATTTAAAAGAATTTAATTTTAAAGGCTTCTATTTGTATAGGTATAAAAGTAAAAATATTAGCTTAGTGTTACCTATCCTCTTGTCAGAAATCTCTTTTACTAAAGTGATTGTGATTCATTAGATCGTGCTTCATCAAATTTCATCAACTATTATTTTTATTACTATCCTTTATGAATATTTTTACTAAGAGGAAGAGAGATAAAAGGAAAACTAAAAGTCTATAAGGTTGCTCTCAATCTTGATTCCAACTACAACCGATGAGTTTTAAATTTATAACCCAACTAAGCAACTTTCAGGTGTTCTATTAGAACTACAAAATATTTATGCGAAATACAAAATTTAATTGTGCTATGAAAAATATATAATTTTTAACACAACTAATCAATTTTATGATTTCAAAACAAATAAATCATTAAATATACTAAGAGAAATACAAAATTGAAAATCAAGCTATTTTCTATCATAAATTTCTAAATACTTGAATAAATTTAATAAAAAATTTACTAACATTGCAATCGGACCACTACAACACCGCTACTAAGTGTAGACGAAGACAATGTCGCCGGAGTCCACCGCCACCGCTGCTGCTGCCCGCTCTGTCCACCTACTAAAATAAATTGAAAAAAGGAAAATGAGAAGAGGAGGAGAGGACGAGGGATAGAGAGAAGGAGAGCAAGATTTACATTACCTTTGTCTTCAATGGCACCTGCCGTGGAGGGTTCCACCGTGGGGCGAAGGAGCTGGGAGGAGGGGGAAAAAGAAAGAGTGAAAGAGACGAAATAAGACAATTTTGGAGGTATTTTAAAAAGATTTGCGACCGATCGGTCGCAAATATTAATTTAATATTTAATTTTTTTGACCAAAATAGCCGCACAGGTGGGTCAACGAAGTCAAAGGTGTCATGTGGCAATTAATTATATTTTGCGACCGATTCGGTCGCAATTTTTAATTTTTATTTTTTATGTTTCAACAAAAATGGTCGGAAACCTCGCAAAAAACTTTTGCAGTTTTATCCGTCAATTTTTTCGACGGACCCAGTCATAGTGTCAGCATGTTGGCGGTCGGAAAACTGTCATTTTCTAGTAGTGCATGTCTTTAACTTGTGTCTATGACATGCATCTCTCTTGGATTGTTTTTCGGCAGTGACTCTATCTTTCTCAATTGTGTATGATTACAATGTGTGGAGGTTGTGATAAATTTTGAGAAAATATTGTAGATTTGACTAAGATCCAACGTAAAACAACAGTAGTATTATTCTCTGTTTTTGAAAAAAAAACGACAATGATACGATAACAGAGTCAAACTATCTAATTTTTATTTTACATTTTCAATATGATACTATTTTCATATTTTGGAATTAAAAATATTTTTCCCTGTACCTTAAATTAAAGGGCCTCTAAAAAGATTTGAAAGAAGTAGAGAGACTAGAGAGAAACTCTCCCAGCGCACGATACGCTAGGGTTTGCTAACATGCTGTTTAACCCAAAAAATAGTTTTCAAGGTCAAAGCAATAATTTTATATGACGGGCAACAAGCAACCGATGCAATCCGAAAGATATAATTTTTTGTTAATTAAACGTCATAGAGAAGTGAAAAATACATTCAATAAAAGATAATATAATAAAAATAAAGCAGAGAAGAAATAATTCTTATTGAATGATTCTTGATAGGATGTTGAGCCGAACATAGCTTGAAGGGCCGAACTATGGCTAACTTGGGAGCAAGATGCTATGATTTACAATTTATATAATTGTAGATAAGAAAATTAGATTCCCTCGTGGTGATAAAAGTGTGTCGATTTAGAGGGCTAAATCTAAATAACCATTCTCCTTGAATTATGGGTCCATTATGAGCATTTACTCAATCCATCCGTTACTTTTGGAAGACTTGTAACATATGTGTAAATGCTGAAATTCCGTAACTGACGAGTTAATTCTGTAACTGAAGTGTTAATTCCATAACTGATGATTTAATTCTATAATTGATGTGTCACAACCCAAAATCCCACCACAAGAGTCGTGATGGCACATAATCTCTAAGATTAGGTAAGCTGATTTCCATTGCATTTTTGAAGCCATTTATTTTTAATTAAATAAGTAACCAAAACTAACAGCGGAAATAATTACAATATACAACCTCCCAAGACTGGTAGTACTGAGTCACAAACTCTAACTGAATACATAGAATGATCACGAGGACCGAAATACAATTCTGTTTGATTACAAGTTAACAATACAATGAAATGAAATGACTCCAAGGGACTGCGACGACCAAGCAACTCTACCTTGAATTCATACGGTCTCGCTTTAACTCTGCTCAAGTCCGTTATCTTCAATACCTGGCTCTGCACAAAAATGTGCAGAAGTATAGAGTGAGCATACCACGGCGGTGCCCAGTAAGTATCAAGACTAACATCAATGGAGTAGAGACGAGGTACAGTCAAGACACTCACTAGTCTAATAACCTGTGCAATATAATATACAAAATAATAAAAAATAAATAATAATAAAGGTAGGATAAAACAACCAGTGATATGCACAACAGACAACAAGAATACCATTAATATCACTCAACAATTAATAAACACAATTACATCCAATTAAATCAAGCCCTTCAAATAAATATCTTTCATATAGTTCTTCGAGATAACTCTCTTTCAAATATAATTTTCTCAAATAATTATTTTTCAAATATAATTCTTTGAATAAATCTTTTCTAAGTAAAAATCCTTCCAAATAAATATTTTGAATATAATTTTTTCAATTAAAAAGTCACCACGTGACATCTCATTTCAAAATCATCAAAATACGGGTCTCAGCCCATTTTCATATTTTTTGTAAATACGGGTCTCAGCCCATTTTCATATTTTCACGGCACCTCGTACCCATAATTAAATCAGCATATTTGCCAGGCACCTCGTGCCCTCATTTCATATCACAACTGCACGGACAATTCACGTGCCAAATATCATTATCATTTCATCACAGTACCTCGTGCCCATATTTTATATCATAACTGCACGGACAATTCACTTGCCAATATCTCCATCTCATATCACAATTCACAGCACCTCGTGCCGACATTTCATTTTATAAACCAACTGGCAATAGCTACAGGCTCCCAATTTCAACATAAATCAGATTATTATCAATTTACTAACAACAAGACAAGTTGCACAAGGTATAAAATAAACACAAGAAAATCACAACATCATATAAAAATTGTCAACACCACAACCCCACATCATCACATATCGTCCCTGACAATAGCTACCCTTATCGCTCTTATTGCCACCCTTATCGCTCCTATAACCACCCTTATCGCTCCGCCCAAACAATATCAATAGCCAGCAAACACAACAGTGAAATTCCACCCTTATAACCACATAATATCAACAGTGAAATGCCACATTTATCTCCCCAAAATAACAACTTACACAACACAATAATTTACACGGAAAATTATCACAACAACATAACAAAAATCAATTCATATCACAATTTGCCCAATGGCCACAACCAAATTTCAAAGCTACAACCAAGTCAATTAATTTCACAGCAAATAGCCAAATGATTCACACAATATGTACAACACCCAAAAATAATCAATGGAGATAGAAATTACTCAACATAAAGCAAAGTCTTCATAAAGGATCAAATTTTTAATAATTATATAAACACCTCTTCTTAAGCTCATTTAATTAATTATTTGCAGAAGAAAAAATCCAAAATGAAATTAAATTCCAATAATTATCAAGCCAGCAAATTCACAAAATTTCATAAATAATCAAATAACAATCACATCACATTGTCATATAACAACAGTGTCGACAACAAGGGTTTAGGCACGACAAGTAGATGATTAAGTATATGCCAACAATTATCCAATTTACTACACAATATGCTCAAGACTTTAACTCAATAAAATTTGCACATATAAACCAAGTACGTACTCGTCACCTCGCGTACATGGTTTTCAATTACCCGAGTTGCACATAAGACTCAATGCCTAAGGGGAATTTCTCCCACTCGAAGTTAAGCAAAACACTTACCTTTTGAAGTTAGGCCGATATTCCAAAATAGCTTTCTTGCTTGAATCGACCTCCGGACAGCTCAAATCTAACCAAATTAATTGTATAACTCCATTAAAATTCGTCGGAAATAATTTCGGATAATAATACGTTGATTTTAAAATTTATTCCAAAAAGTCAACAAAAGTCAACACGGGACCCGCCTCTCGGAACCCGACATAATTTTCATGAAATCCGAACACCCATTCTGATACGAGTTCAACCATACCAATTTTATCATATTCGAATAAAAACTCGACTTCCAAATCTTAAATTTTCATTTTTGGAAGATTTTACAAAAATATTAATTTTTCCTCCATTAAATCTGAATTAAATGATGGATTCAAAGACATAATCATGAAAATTAATCAAAACTGGATGAGAATCACTTATCCCAAACACCCACGCAAGAATCTCTCCAAAAATCACCTTCTGCCGAGCTCCAAATTAAATTTTGAGTTATGAACTCAAACCCCCATTTTTGGGACTTTTAATTCTGCCGAGATAGGCCTTCTTCGCTTTCACGACCATTGCTTCGCGTTCGCGAAGGACAAAAACTCGCTGCCTCAATTTTTTCTTCGCGTTCGCGTTACAAACGTCGCGTTCGCGAAGGCCTGTCGTGCATATCATCGCGTTAGCACTCAAGCTCTCGCGTTCGCGATGCACTCAGGTCATACTGCTTCGCGTTCGTGAAGGCTGATGACTCCAGGCCCAGTCCCCTCCTTCCTTCTACGCGTTCGCGACTGGCCCCTCGCGTTCGCATAGGTTCTTCAGGCATACCTTCGCGTTCGCGAAGGCTAAATTTCAGCAGCCTCAAAACTCTTCTTTGCGTTCGCGTGACTCTCTTCGCGTTCGCGAAGAAGGAAGTCAGATACCAGATATAGCAGTTCTGAAACAACCCGAAATGATCTGAAACCACCCCGAAACACACCCGAGGCCCCCGGGACCTCAACCAAATACACCAACAAGTCCGAAAATATCATACGAACTTAGTCAAATTCTCAAATCACCAAAACAACATCAAAACGATGAATCGCACCCCAAATCAAAATCTATGAATTTTGAACTTTCAAATTCTATAACTTGTGCCGAAACACATCAAATCAATCCGGAATGACTTCAAGTTTTGTAGGAAAGTCCCAAATAACATAACGGAGTTGTTCTAACTCTCGGAATCGCATTCTGACCCCGATATCAAAAAGTCAACCCCCCGGTCAAACTTTTTAAAAATTTGACTTTCGCCATTTCAAGCCTAAATTGGCTACAGACCTCAGATTCACGGTCCGGACACGCTCCTAAGTCCAAAATCACCCAACGAAACCAACATAACTCTATTCCGAAGTTGTCTTCATACAGTTCCGACTACGGTAAAAATCCTTAGGCTTAAGCTTCCATCTCAAGGACTAAGTGTCCAAAATCTCTCCGAATCATCCGTAAATCAAACTCGACCACACAAGCAGGTCATAATACATATTGCGAGGCTGCTATAGACCTTAAGTCACTGAACGGGGCATAAATTCTTAAAACGATAAGTCGGGTCGTTACATTCTCCACCTCTTAAACAAACGTTCGTCCTCGAACGTTCTAAGAATTATTCTGAGGTTACCGAGTTGATAAGTTTACTTTTACACATAAACTCACGGTTGATTCCACGTTACCGCATTTGAGATAAGCCCGACAACATCATCTCACTTGAGATTATTTCTTTTATCCATATTTGTAAACTTTAAGATCAATTCCT